GGGAAAGGTCACATTCGTTATATCATCAAAAAGAAAATTTAATATCTGAATAATCAAAAAATATACAGGGTTCGATTTGAAATTCTTGACTTAGGTTCATTTCCGGTTAACCCTGTTTAAATTTTGGAGTGTTTTTTTTTTCATTAAAAATACAGGCTTCGATGAACTATATCTTTATTTCAAATTTCATATTCCTTACCTCAAAAACAATTGAATGGCACTGTGTAAAATGATTTTGTTGTCACCTGGTAAAGTGGTGAATTTCCAAAGAAAGGAAGAAACAATTTAATATATCAATAAAAAAATCTTCACAAAGATGTTACAGTAATTACATACAGATATATAGAAGAAAAGGTTCATTCGAAAAGACTACTTTCAATTACGAATATTGAACAGCAAGGAAATCACTTCTTATTCAGTTTGTTTACTAAACACAACAGATTTTTTTACTTACAACAATAACCTTCAATTTTATATACATTCTCCGACTGAAAAGTATTTAAAATTCCTCATAAAGGTTTCAAAATGTTTTCCTATCACGACAGATATGAATTTATAACCTCAAATGAAGAGAGATTTGAATGATTGCAGCTAATCCAGAATAGTATAATTATTTTCGAAAAGAAAAAGCTTTTTGGCTCTCTACTTCTCCATCTTCATGCAAACAATGTGGGAAACTTCCGAAGGTAACTTATGTGCATATTATACACATCTTTGTAGAGCTTATTTTCAAATTAATCACCTTTTTTCTTCCGATGTTCCCCAAAATTTGTGTATAAAGAATAAGAAGTAGAAAGCCAGGTTTCTTTCACAACAAATAACATCCCTTAGGTTTTAGTTCAATAATAAGCTGAAAACTTCATTGAAATTTCTCATTAGTTAATTTGAAAGGGGATATGGTTTTAGGAGATATTAGTTTAACATATGGTAATTTTTTTAATTAACTGCACGACCAGTTACAAATACAAATATTGCCAAAGGTTGGTGCATTATTCGATAATTATATTAGGTACACTTAAAATGGTTGCAAGTCAACCAGTATACAGGGTAGGTCAAATAATATAATAATTGTATGGGAGTAAAGTACCTTTATTTTAGAAAATTCAACAAAATGTTTTTGAGAAAAGTTGTTTACAATTTAATTTTATGCCTAAATACCACAACATTGGTGATAAATGGTTAGGACAAAATACTGATTCATGGTGGTCTCCTTGTTCGGCAGATCTCACTTCATTAGATTTTTTATGGTGAAATTTAAAGCAAAAGGTTTACAAGGATCGACCATTCAAGCTGAGGAGCTTAAAAATTCATTGCAGAAATATTCCAGCAAGTGTGTTGTGATCTACTCTTTGTGAATTTTATGATCGAGCAATTAGATGCATTTAACGTGAAGGTGGACACACAAGAGACACGTCGATAATTCTTCACACACTTAATAATGGTTAAGTTATAATAAAAATAAGCAGATATAAATTGTGGAAACCATCGGCACCGCTTTCACATACAATTGAAAACATTGTATTATTCCTTTTTGACCATTTTGTTGATATCTATTAATAATAATGTTTACTTTCAACATTTGTTTTGTTTCCCGGGTATCCGCGATTATTTTGAAAGGATTTCATGTTTGTCGATGAATTCGTATAGTTTTTTCATAAACATTTCAAATAAAAAATGTTCACTTCAAGAGTTTTTGAATATACATATTACCATTACTAATGTTTTACATTGAGTTATGTTAAATATCATTGCAACAAACATGAAGTTTGTGATTCACAAAAAAATTAAAATCTAAGTTAATTGAACAAAGTTATGCTTAACTGATTTTGTTATGATTAACTTATTTCCCTTCACATTCGTATGAAACGCTCAAGTTGTCAAACGGCGAAACAGATTTAGGCCTGTTTCTTGATGACTCCCTCACATTTTCCACGCACATATCACATAGTCAAAAAAGCTTTTGTAAACCTAAAACTGATGTATTCCAACAGAATAATGCATGCAAAATAAATTACCCTATGCGAATCACTCGTCTTATCCCAGCTAAATTACAGCGATGTTGTTTATGGGCCGGCTACAAAGACTCCAAAACTCTTGCACCTGATTGATATGCGGTATTAAAAGACAGACTCCTACCTCGAGTTACATTACTGGACTGGGCTGGTTGTCTATGAACAAACGACGTATTTTGCTGTGTATTATATCAAAAAAAATTCTCACAAAAACATTCATATTTCTATTCAAAAATTCAGAGGCGCTCTGAAACTCACAATGTAAACGTCCGATTTCGACAGAAATTATCTGTACCCATACACAACACTTCGCTTAACCGATCTTGCGTATCCTATGGCATCGCTAAAATCTACAATTGTATTCCCTATGATTTCAAAAACCTGTCAAGTCTTTAATTTCAAGAAAAAAGTCAAAGGCATGTTGTTGGATATACTTCTTATGTATTGTTACGTTTTTCTCCGTGGGTTGACCAATAACACAACACAACAAAGTTTTTGTTTCGGGGTTGAAATTAGATGATTTTAATGTATTTCCACACCTTTCGAAAATGTCAAAGGTTCTTTCACAAAAATACGGGGGTGTTTCCATAAGAAGTGAGACAAATTCGGATTTTTCAAGACTGAAATTTTATATATATACTTTTTCCTCCTGGAAGGATCAGTTCTTGTCACTGGTCCCTTCACGTGGTTGTGTGGAAGAGAGCATTTCTATCGTTTTCATAACGTAGAAGAGCGAACGATGCCATTTGCTACTTAATATTACTTTACTTTGTACTTTTCATCATTGTTTGTTCCGCAGTAAAAACATTTTTTAGTATTATCATTATTATTAGTATTAAAAAAAATTACAAACTGAAAATTACAAAACAAAAATTGAATATCTAAAAATGGTTTAAGAAGGCAATGTTTTGGTATTTGGGCATAAATTTCCTCTGTAAACAACTTTTCTCAACATTTTGCTGAAGTTTCAGGAATGAGGATACTTAACTCTTGACGTACCCTATATGCTCTTTGACTTGCAACCATCCAAGGGCACCTAATATGATAACCGAACATTCATCAACTGTCGGCACTATCTGTATTTTGGGTTTGCGATAAATAAAAAAAGCCATATATTGCACTCTCAAATGACCACACTGTATATACAAAAAATGTGAGAAACTTTCAAAAAAAGGAAGAAATAAATTAATTCCAAAATAAGCTATTCAGAAAGATATGTAGATCATGCACAGAAGTTACTTTCAGATACAAACTGGAAGAAAGAGTCCTCAAGAAACAACTTCTTTCATATGAACATTGAATTACAAGCAAGAAAAAATACTTTCGTAGGAACTACTTTCATATGAACATTGAATTATACGAAAATCTGAATCAGATACCATTCATAGGAATGCTACACAATCTAATATATTTAAGAGTTACGTTATACTTCGAAAATTCGAAATGAGAAATTTGTCTTATTATCAGTTTGTATCTGCAAGTACCTTTATGCATGATCTACACATTTTGTAAAGATTTTATTATAAACTCAATCGCTTTCTTCCTTCTTTTGAAAGGTACACACATTTTTTTGTATAAAGATGGAGAAGTTCAAAGCCTAAACCTTTCTTTCTTATTGTTGTTATGACCTATTTGAAGATATTTACTGTTGAAGTACTGCTTCCTATTCTCAAGAGCAGAATGGTATACCTGAAAGAAAAATGAGTGAGAGTAAAGGAATAGAAAAATGCTTTAAAGACGAAAGTGAACGGGAATGAAGAAACAAACAAAAAAATAAAAATGAAGAACAAACTGAAATAGATGTACCATTAATATGTAAACAAACAAGTAGTCAATTATGAAGATTCTGACAATGCATTACCGGATATATGACTATCTAGTATAAAAACGGATATATACAGCAATAAAATTCAAAGCAATACTAGTTGCCAAGGGTTTTCTGTAGAAAGAAGATATTGATTATCAAGATATCTTTATATGAACCCATATAGGTTATGTTGCAGATGGCTACTATTTACATACATACACGTTCTGGTATTTTAATTTTACAAACTGTGAGTTACGCTGCCAGCTTCTCAACTGTTTAATAACTGAACAATGAAACACATAAGAGAACTTGAAATGTTTCAACACTACAATCAAACGCATAATCTGTAAAAATCTGACACCAAAGAAAATTTTATTGATCATAGAGACGCTGTTCACAAGAGACATAGTCAGGTTTCACCAGAAAGCATCTGGGTCGAACAAGTTGTAGTTTTTTAACCTAAATGAAACAGTGAAATTATTGAATTGCAGCAGGAATTTAATTTTGTTGTATTATATGAATTATAATATTGCTAGAGATGTAGTGTTCATTTTTGAGTTATTTGTGAAACATAATAGTTTTGAAAAAAAAGAAAAATTGTTCAGTTTTACAGAGCTTTTTAATAACTGAACTTGAAAGAATAAGTTTTTTTACATACAACCTTAAATACCCTGCTGATCAGATGTAAAAAAATACTAATTCAATTTTCCGCTGTTGAAACACATATTATGGATCCAAAACAAGTACCAGAAATATGACAATTCTTGTTTTGAATTTATTCTATATATATGTTCCAGTTCTACCTTTCATTATATAGCAGGTCTTCGAGCCAAGAGCTTAAAAATTATCCAGAAAGCATGTTGAAACATGTAGATTATTCGTCATTTCATTTAGGAGCAATGATAAATCTATATAGAGAAATGTTACTAGGTGGTAAAGTTTCAAAGATGTTACGAAGTTTCGTATTTCCTGTCAAACATCTTTGACTGTGTCTGAATAAAATTCAGACAAAAGTATACAAACCAACGACTTGACAACTACGCAATTACAATACATAAAGTGGGAATTTATTACATTTTGTAGTGCCTGCCTGTAAATTTTTCTAGTATGGGAGTATGTGTAGTTACTATTTTATTCAGTAAATTCCCAAACAATTAAGGATTCTACTTTTTCTGTTATAGCTTAAAAAAGATATTGATGAATTAAGAAGCTTAGAACAGCAAGCAACAAGACAGAAGATTAAAGGTATAATTTCCATTGAAATTCAAAAACTGACGTCGGAGGTCGTGAAATTGGAAGAAAAATCAAAATTCAATTCAGCTTCTAAAATAACACCTGGAAGTTCCACTAGTTTGCCCAACACCAATAGAAGATATGAGGTGAAGATAAATAATTATGGTAAAAAAATTATACTTACTTGATGTTATACATTTTATAATTGATATTTTTTTTTTCAGCTTGGGATCAGACTAACAAATTTGTGAAATTTTACATTACATTAAAAGGTGTTCAAGATATTCCTTTCGAAAATGTCAAAGGTTCTTTCACAAAAAAAAGTATGGAAATTGTAATTGAAGATTTATATGGCAAAGATCAAGTCCTTCGAATCACAAACTTTTTGAAACCTATAAATCCAGATCAATGTACTTGGAAAATCAAGAAGGGTGAGTAATATGTTATTGTTTTAATTGCAATAAAGCGATTTTATTATAAAATGTAATTTCTAATTGTTCAGTTAAGTAACTTGGAAATGAAATTCGTTATAGCATTTTCTCTAGAGAGGTAGATCAAAATGTTTTATTTATTTAATTATTAACACTCTCGAGTAAATTCAATCCAAAAACTTCCATATTTTCCGATTATGCATTTTCTATACCTGATTATGACTACCTTTCCCGAGCTTTCTGAAAAGATTTTTTTATATTGGCTCAATGTTTGTATATTTGGGAAAAATTCAACCCCCTTCCTGAAATTTTATAAGAGGGTATTAATATTTCCTAGCTGCAATACAGGAAAATATTAAAAGAAGATCAGACAATATAGATAAATCTATAGTATTACAAAGGCTGACTTCCAGTGTTCTTCCTTCAAAAGTAGCAGTCAGATTTTTGTATCGGTACTTCAATCATCGCCTTGGTAATGCGTATTATTTCTAAGGAACACAAGGATTTCTTACAATGTACAGGTCGTTCCTTAAAGCAAGCAGATTAGATAAACTTATTTCAAAGTATAATTAGTTTGACAAAAAGCTGCGAGCGAACAAGTGAAATTAGGTTGATAATTTTAAAGTGCAGTTGATACATGTATTTTTTGTATATACCTCTCCAAAACAAATATGGGCTTTTCTCGGAAGATGATTCTATATACAACATTGTAAAGAGGTGACCATAGTTAAAAGTTTTTTTCAATATCAGGTGATATATTGTATTGTGATCACAATAAACAAAGTGAAATCTGTTAATCAGCTGTTGCCCCCTACGAACGACTACTTTCAAAAGTCGAAACTTGTGCGAGATAAGGACTAACGAGGTCTTACCTTTTAACGTGTGATTCCTAACACGGATTGGACGATAGGAAATGAAGATTGATTGTCCGGTATTATGGTTCGAACAACCAGTTCGCACGGCGGTCGATCGACTGAGTGGAGCTGACCACCCACGTCAACCCATCAGGCTACCGTCCTACCAAATAATGATATTTATACTTACATTAGAAGAGTTGTTCGAACATAGACAAGCGAAGAATCTTTTTATAAAGTCGTGTATTTATCTATACTTTTAGGATCCCTTGCCACACACACTAAGCAATTCAACTTTCCAGTTCACATTGCATTTAACTCTAAAAACAGAAATTGTTCCTACTATTTTTTTCTTCATTCAATGACATTTCTTATTCTAGAGGTGGAATGTTATAACAATGACTTTGAATATTAGTTTATAGATCAATTTGCCGCACCCTGGACGAGCCTCCGACAGCATTGTATGGCTGTTTGCGATGGGGTTGCATCCCAGCACTTTGCACTTGATTTATTGTGGGTCTTCATTTGCAAAAACCATGAATTTTTTGTAAATCAGTCATGCAAGTGTTGAAATTTCCAGTACAGGGATATGATAGAAGTACGTAACACACAACAGTTGCCCATCTCTTAGAGGTTCAACATAATACACCTGAAATGACACTTTTTAATAACTCATTCATTTAGAGAAAACCGTCCTTGTATAATAAATAAACTTATAGAAACCATTTTTCCAAATTAATATAATACACATGTTTGCTCCCAGAGCACAGCCTGTGGAAAAGAGTCTTTTAACGAATTTTTTTCTTCACTACTATTTCACTCCGATAATATAGTTAAATGAAAGTAGGTACGTTGGATTTGGGCAGTCTTTTTATTTTCAAAAACTTGGAAAGTGAATATATTCAAAAAGGTGAAAAAAAGTTGATTTCTTCTTAAAAAAAAAAAAAGAATCTTGTTCAGTAATAATTAAAAAATTTCAGAACACAATTTTGTACCGTTTGTAAAAAATATATATTTTTGTATCTTTACTAATATTAACGTTCTCAAAATGATTTCATCATTGTTGTTCATGTAACTAGCTTTCCAAAGATATAATTACCACATTCCTAATTCATACAGAAATTAAAATAATTCTGAAGGCTGTATCGAGGAGAGATACAAACGTACTAAGAAAATAAATATTTCAAATTAAATTAAAAAAAAACATCCCTCCCAACATCTCCGCACAGTAGGATTTGGCAAATACCTGCCGTATAGCTACTTTCCCGGCTAATACCATGATATACATTGAATTATATTTTTCAGACACTCGTGGAAGTTTTCTAGTGAAGAAAATTCTTGCAGAAGCATATTGTTAGTCCATTAGTAGGACCTTGCTGAAACCAATCGAGTGATCATGAACAGATCGGCTTCAGGGTATTACCCATGGCCAGATTCAACCAAGGCAGCAGTGTGTCTGCATATACAAAACTTTGTCTAAGACAAACTTTGTTAAATAGTAACAGCTTCATCTCGTGAATAAGCCCAGGTTTCGAGGACTGTTCTTTGCTTTTGCGCAACACTATAACTTTCTGCAACCGGGCCAAACCATCACAGAATTGTGAGGAAATCAACAAAATGTACCTGCATCGAAAATGGCGTCAGCAGCAGCCGACACTGGTCAACAGAAGAGGTCCAATCCTGCTCCACGATAACGCCTGTCCACACGTTTCACAAACCATCGTCCGAAAGTGATGAACAAATTGAGCGTCGAAGTTTTTTAGCGTTGAACTGAGCAAAATATTTTACATACGAACGAAGAAATTTTGCGGCGTTGTCAAGTTATTGCTGTAAGAAATAAAATCTTCGGAAAAACAAACCACCACAAACGCCATCATAAAAAATGTATGGATAAAATTTAAGCACGTCCTGTCAATACCACATTCTTCTTTTGATTCGAATGGGTAAATGATTACTCAATTGTAGTAACTGGGTTTCCAAAAAATCGAGGTCAATCAAGACATTAACTCTTCCCTCAAAGAAATATGGCCCAACGATGAAATTTGCAATTATGTCGCTCCATCTTCATACATTTAGCGACCACTTTGTCTGACTGGTGGTTCAAAGAAATGGGGATTATCTCTTGAATAATAATGGAAATTATGTCTGTTCTCTTCATATGTGAGAATGGAGTTTTTATAGAGAAAGTCTTATCATTGAGAGCTTTGGTAGAACTTGCACCAGAATTGGATTCAACATTTGGACTCGGTGCACAGGTTTCAATAGAAGGAGAAAACGTCGATTTATGAATTTTTGAAGAGTGCATTTTCGCATCTTTTGTAGTTATCAATTTCTTATTGGCAGATTGACAAAATAAACATATATTTTGAACTTGCATCGTGTGCAGTTGTACTCGTACAAGATGGTTTTCCTCTGTGGAGAATTGTTTGGTGTGGTTTCTTAATCTGCACATTGTGACTGCTAGATAAAGGATACTTTTCGCCTCTGAGATTTCTATTCTGAAAATTTCTCTCTTCAGCAAGTCTGAGAGTTTCAAGTATAGTACATTGCATTTTCGTTGCTTCTCTGTCCTCTATCCAATTTTAAACACATTTCTGCAATGGTTATGACAGCATCAGTGAATCTCTCACACAAAATATGTGTACTGTTTGGTAGTAGGAATTTGCATTTCTGCCAGTCATTAAAAAAATGGAGAAACACGGATTCAGGAATATTGGATTTTTTTTTTAACGGAGTGCATGAAACTTGACAAGTCATTTTGACATTTATTTTGTAACAGTAAAAATTTGGTTTATTCGTGTACTCAAGTTAATTTTTCAAAACTGTTATTAGGAGTAATAATATCTATCAACTGTTTCATTAATTTAACATCAGTTTACCATTGCAAATTGAAAATATATATGTATATTAGAATACTTACTTTAATAAAGATCTATCTATCTACCCAATTTGCTTGTTTTGGGTAACAATGTCAACGAATTGAGTAAATAAATAACCAGAGTTTCTAAAAAGTGACTTCTATATGAATATGCCATCAGTCAAATCACGGCTCATCAACAACAACAAGGATCACTGCAGTCAAGCTACGACATCAACCATCAAATAAGAAATTGTTTTCTCTCTCTCTCTTTCTCTCTATAGCTTACACTTCGAATAGATAATTATATAAATGAATAAAAGAGATCTTGATAATCATTTAGGTGAAGTTATACTAAAATTATATAGTGATTAAAAATATAAAAATATCTGGGATGCTTTATTTAAACTTTTTGTGGTATATGAGGAAATGATTTGGAAATAATGTTATTTTCATTTGAGAAAAACAACATTTATTAATACTAACAGATTTTGAGTTTCTTTAGGTTTGTAAATTCTTATCGAATAGATGTACTTGTATAACACATGTCTAGGTCCAAATGAAATAACTTCACTTTATCATTATTCATTTCAGACATGGTTATTGTAAATGTAGCTAAAACATCTCCAGATCATTGGTCACATATCACAGAGTGGGAAAAAAAAGCCAGTGACCAAAAGATGGCAGATATAGATACTGACAAATCAGATCCTGCACAAGGTCTGATGTCTCTGATGAAGAATATGTAAGTTGAACAAATAGACATTGTATAAGTTTTTCATAAAATTATGTTTTGGAAAGTTTTTCTGAATTTATGAGTATATACTTTGAAAAAATATTGAGCTGGATTCATGAACCAAGATGTAAGTCGCAAGTCGTGAATAATAAGATGTGAACATTGGGTCATTTATTGTCAATGGCATGCATCATTTGCATGCAAAACATGAATTCTTATGATTCAAAATATATACATGGAGCATAAATCAATCTTTAGATTGAGGGTTATGCATGCAAGTCTAATGAAATACCATTTCTAGTTAGCACCACCAAGAATTACTTTTTTTTTATTTGTCAACCAAATTGACATGGTTAGAAGATGTTATTTACTAATTCCATGAATATCAGTGAATTAGTATCCAACAAGGTCAACTTTTTCAAATCATTAATTATGTCGATGGGATTCTCATGACGCTGAGACTTCTAGTGAATTTAATCAGTTTCCTGGGGGGCAGTTCTCTGATTTGATCCTCAGGTCAGAGCTTGACAGGAGGTGTCCCATTTTAAACCTTGTCTTAAAGCTTTTCAGCTTTTTTTGGGGATACGCCAATCAACTTGTCTTTGTCTTGGCAATTCGATCTAGTATTAATTGATCAAGTTCTCATTTGTGATAGAAAATCAAAAGTTCTCATTGTCGAAACCATTTCTTGTTCACAGAAGTGTCGGGCCAAAGAGAAGGGTACTTTTTCCCTACTTTGCAAAATTATTAGCTTCCTGATTTTCTTGTAACCTGCAACCACATCGAACTGACTTGATTTCTTTTTGTCACTTGTCTGTGAGATGTTTTTGTAGTCATGAATCAGTTTAAACTCACAAGTAATTTACTTCAGAGCTTTTAATGCTGGTTGGCTGTCTGATAAAAATATAGATTCTTGCACCACAATTGCAATTTACAAGATATTCATGAGCATAGAGTACCAGATTGAAATTGGCAAGATATGCAAACCAACGGGCTTTTTTATGTAGTTTACTACTTTTCAACTTTGTCACTATCTTAATAACGACACTGTTCTAATATAGTTATCACTTTAGTTTATGTTTTCCTCACATTCACATGCACAGCCTAGAACAAAATGCACATAACTCTTCTCTTCTTCTGACATAATTTGATTGGGCTTTCAATTTTTCTGGAAGAGGGAGTGTACCTGTGTTTTTTGAGAAGTAAGTTGAGGTGATGATTATCAGTCCTTGAGTACTAATTGAAATTAATGATTTCATTAGGAAGTACCTTTAATAGCTGGTTTAGTTTGACCAACTTATTGATGCAATACTCATATGAGCAGTTTAGTTGAAAATTAGGATCATCTCCTAATGAATGTCAACTTGGTTGGAAAAAGTGTTGTCACAGTTTTGGTGCATGACAGCAGCGTCCCTGTTACATTGTTTTATTCTATGTAAGAGGTTCCTAATTCTAGCTGATAGTTTCTCGGTTTTTTTCATAAACAACTTTTTTATAGGTATGATAAAGGTGATGATGAAATGAAGAGAACTATCGCCAAAGCATGGACAGAAAGTCAAGAAAAAAAACAGGTACAATAGCTCTCAAGTTGGACCTACCTTTTTTATTTTCTCAGTACATTATATTTTAGGAGTTACTTTTTGTTTTATTTAGGTTTTGAATTGAAATAAATTGTCAGAATCAAATTGATGATCATTTTATTAAAAAATGGAAATATAAAACAAAAACAGTCATATTCTTTAAAAAATATCGTTTTTACCATTGTCAAAAGTATTGAGAATGTGTTCATAATGGTAAATGATAATTCATATGTTTCAATCATAAGATTGTGATAACATTCACCTTGGACAAGGTGTCAAAAATAAGCTAACATTTTTGGAAAAAAATACTTGAATTAATAACTAAATATTGTCAATTCACTTCAAAAATGCAACAAAAATATATATTCTGAAAGAGGGATGATCTTCTAATTACTTAAATAAAAAATAAATAGGATTCTAATCTCAAACTTAGCATATGACATTTTGGTATTACTCAGAAATCAAGAATATTATAATGATTTTCTTCATCTTTGGCTACGACCATTATTAGGTGGAGGACAACTTTCCTACAACTTCAGAAGAGGTGAAATACTGCAACTTGGTGCTTGGAGTTTTTGTATTATATCATGCATTTGTCGATGATTGTGCCCACAGTAGGAAAGTAGTATAGGACCATTTAGTGTTGTTAAACAACCCGGACAATTCAGAGTTTTCTTTTTCACACATACCCATAGACTACGAAAGTCTTTTTTATCACAGAGAGTGTATATGTGTCCATTATGAATTAGTACCAACTGTCCTCTTCCACTTTTAAGAAGAATCAAGCCTGAAATGTAAAAAAACCATCTGTCAACACAAAGGCAAGTCAGAAATAAATAAATGAGAGAACAAACAACATGAAGTTCCAATCAGCGATCAAAATTTAAAACTACTCTGAAATTCATTTACTTCTCAAATGGAGTTATCACCTTGATTTGAAATCGTGTTTTAATTATTAAAGTCATCTAAAACTGAAATCCCCATTTTCATGTCATTGCAGAGCATATCGTCGGCCTGATGACAAAACCACTTAACCCATAAGAGTGAAGTTACTCCAAGTACCTCAGCCAACACTACTACACAAATCAAAAACTCTAACGACAGAACAGAATGCAGGAAAGCAAATGTATTACTTCCGATGAACTAGCAATGGCTTAAAGAAAGTGGGGGATACAGGAAAGTGTTCCATGAACGTCAACACGGCTTCATTCCTTTCTATCTATCTTGTTTCACACGTTTTTTTAAGGTCATGATTTTCTCGCATCTCTTCTTCCAAAGCTTTAAATCTTGCAGTGGAGTCACAGAAAAAAATTGTCAGGGAAGAAATAACTCCCACGTCATTTCTGATGCTGGCAAAAGAACTATCTTTGCTTGTAGCCAAGTTTAGCCTATGGTTGGCACAGTGGCTGTAGATTGCAAGAGGCTGAATCTGAGAAATGCGGGCTTGCACACCCTTGAATATTCCACTCATATTCATTTATTTATAAGGGTTATTCCTCATTACCTAATATACATAGAGTGAAGTAATAATACAAATACAGTTAATCAATATATAAACTAGAGATAGTTAAGTACAAGTACAATAAAATTTTTGGGTTTCTACTACTTTCTTTCCCAAAAATTAATCACTCCTAAAAATATAACCCCTTCAATTCAAGTACAATAAATTAGTATACAAAATTAAATGTTATAATTCTGACTACAGACTACTTTTTAATGTAGATGATGTAATACCAGTAACCTTCAATTTTCTATCATTAATCCTTTTGAGCGTGCGATCGATATAAGAATGTATACCATAGTTGATGGTATGAAATGGAATGTGAAAGAGATCAGTATTCCTGAGAGCTCTAGTAGACACATGTAGATGGATTTCATCTAGGAATTCAGTGCTTATAACAAGACCATTAATTAATTTATAAATATTATATCAGCATTTTCCCTTGTCTTACTCAATGAACTGAGGTTGAGAGTATTTGCAACAAAGTTATAATTGTGGTTCTCTAATTGGATGTTCATGGTCAAGTTTACCTAGCTTCTGTAAAATTGTGTGAGCTAAGTTTTTAACCGTGGAAATACAATATTAATTTACAATTTTCTTAATTATCTTAGCTATAATATCCAGAATGAGTATAATTCTATTACATTTAGAATACTTTTGCTGTCTGAGATCTATCAAATTAATCAGTACATCAAATTCATTAAGTGATTGACTGGTCATTATCCGTTCTGTAGATGCAGAGTTCGACATTTGTTAGTCATATTGAGCTGATAATAGGGATTTCAACTTTTTTTGAAGTTCATCAGAGTATATGTACTGTAATTATGCGGAAGTTGATTATAGAACTTACAGGCATTGTACGTGAAGGATCGCTGAAAAATGGAGGTTTTAAGTTTTTACATTGCCAGTAACCCCAAGTTACCGAGTGTTATAATTACTCAGATTTCCTATTTTGATTGGTTCGTCATATAAATATGTTGGTGTCCTATATTTCAGTACATTATGAGTCATATTTAATAGAAGTAATTTTCTGATATCTAGCAATTTGAGTTATCGCATTTTCCGATATTTAAGACTTACGTGCTCATATTTTCTGAAGGAAAGTCTAATACAAGAGTTCTGTATTTTTTGAAGTCGACTAATATCAACATTCAGAAGTGCGGGTCCATAAATTTAGTCACAGTAAGCCAGTTTTGATAATATTAGAATTTTCAGAGCTGAACTCATGAATTGTCTACTTGGATAAAGTTGGTTGACTGTATTATATGAACCTCGGCAAAGTTGATTGACATGTTTTGTGAACCTCAAAACATGTCACAACTCACTTTCAAAATTTGATTAAATATGAGAAGTACTTCATTGTAATCGTCTTTGTTTTCTTCCACACCATGCAGTATCAGGTTATACTTCTTCTGTTGTCTCTCACTGGATTCCAATCGTTTCTCTAGCTCATGTACCTTTTGTTCCAATCTCTCTTTCCCTGTGTACAGATAGGTAATTACTACACGCATTTCGCTGATCTCTTAAATCCTGCGAGTTTCATTATTCTACCTTGATAATTACGGAAGTTATGGGGGCGCTTCCATGAAAAGTGGGAGACAATAATAGGGTCTATTTTCAAACTCTTGACGTACATTGGCAAATGTTTCTCTGGAAATTGCTCGGCATTCTTGAATTATTCTTTCCTTCAGTTGCTCTATTGAATCAGGTTGCGTCTTAAAAACAACAGATTTTAGGTGGCCCCAGAGGAAGAAATCAAGAGGAGACAGGTCCGGGAATCAAGAAGGCCAATCAATAGGACCTCTTCTTCCCATCCATTCATTAGCATAATTATTATTCAATCATTGTCTAATTGGAACAACATAATGAGGAGGTGCCCCATCCTGTTGAAAATGTAATAAATTTTCTTCTATAGATAAATTTGTATGTCTCTCTGATTCATTAATTCATGATCTAGCCGAGATGTTTAAAATATGTATGTTTTTCAGTTAACCAGCTGTCGCACTCTTACGAACGACAACCCTCAGAAGTCGAGTCGAAACATGTGCGAGCTAAGGACTAATGAGGTCTTACCTTTTAACGTGTGATTCCACAAGATCTTTGTATGGACCAATAATTGCATCTCCCAATATACCAGCCCAAACATGAACTTTTTTGGGGTATTGCATATGCCCTTCTCTAAATAGTCGTGGGTTCTCGTTCCTCCAGTAACGACAGTTTTATTTATTTGTGTGCCCATTTAAATAAAAATTGCACTCGTCACTAAAGCAAATATTTTAGATAAGCAGAGTTTCTGCTATAATTATAGTTGTCATAATTACACAAAATTCAATTCTTCTGTCGGGGTCATCTTCACAAAGTTCTTCTTTTCCTAACAGATCGAAAGATAACCTGGTTGCTGTAATTGCCTGACGAGTCGATAAAGTATGATTTATTGCAAACTGTCCAAGTACTTCAATTTGCGTTGCTTCGTCCAGTAATCTTGGTTGATCCCTTTTTTTTATTTGTGACAGTACCGGTTTCTTGAAATTTTGCTATTAGTTGGCGAATGTACACGTGACTTACATTTCTCTCCGGGTGCCTCTAGTTGAATACTTTAATTGTTCTTAAAGGCTAGGAGCAAATTGGAAGCGTGTGGGGTGACGCAGCACAACGCAGTGTTTTGTAACCCATGAAAACCAATGAAACAGCGCAAGTTTGCCCGTTTGCCCCTGGACACGAGGTGGCGCGTCTAGCGTGACACGTGACTGGTGTAGTTGAGACAGTTATTCGTGCCAATTATTTCGCGTGTCGCCTTGTTTTTTTGTTTATTTTTTAAATTCAAAGTTATGGTTGAGGAAGAGATAATTGAGGTTGTGAGGGCATTCAAAGAGTAACGTGTTCAAAAAGCACTTCATTGTGAGACTTTCACTAAACAATTTCACAAAAACGCAACACGTGTTTCGCCATACAATGGCTTCGATAAAAGCCGAAATGAAGTGGAGTAATACCATGAGGATCTTCACAACGAGTCATATTTTTATTTGCTTAAAAAATGCAGGTACTTTGATCACATGAAAAAAATGAGTGGAAGTCAATTTTTCTAAAATTGAATACTCCGTATATTTTCACATTTTTGAGCTCTATATCCAATTTCAAATTGACTTTGTAGAGGTAATCCCATTTCGAATTCGAACAGTTATTGAGATAAACTGTTTCAAACGGAAACTGACGTGGTTGCCTTATTTTTGAAATTCAACAGATTCCGTTCGATATTCCTTCATTAGTCACAGATAATATAATGAATAAATAATTATATACTCTTCAACCATCAAATGAAACATCTTTTCAAACAATGCTGACACATGAACTGAAAATAATTTCATCAATTAGTTAAGTTAATTCAGTTTTCAGTGTATTTTCACCTCTATTTAAGCAAACATGTAATCTCTTCAAAAGATTTTCATGTGTAGCACTTCTGATTAAGTCTAGAGTTAAACTATTGAAAGCAGTTCTAACTCTTGATTTCGTATCTTCCATTGTTGTTACTGGGTTGGAGTAAACCATATTTTTGATGAAACCCCACACAAAATAATCTATAGGATTGTCATGTGGTGGTCTAGGAGGTCAACAAACAGCCCGTTATTACCAATCCATCTGTCTTCGAAGATTTCAGTTAATTCTTTGCTTACTGAACAATAATTATGGGGCGGAGCACCATCCATTTGGTGCCATACACGTTCTTTTCCTGGCCTATTATTTAAAATCATTTGAACTCAATCTCTTAGTGAATCTTCATATTTGGTTGCATTCAAATTATCATCATAAAACTCGCTATGAAAAATTGACCCACTCTTATATTCAATTTTTTGAATGTTCGGACCAACCCATTGATGTATTTGGGTTCATACGGAAGCATTATGAATTTTGAATCTTTCTCTTTTCGAAAAGTCGAGGCATTACGAAGATACTCCCTAAATTTTTGTATTCTAATCAATTTATCAACTGTTTGATGGATACCCGTTGCTTTCAGCCATCTCCCTAACACCTTTTTTCTCAATCTCATACCTTTCTTTGCTCAAGGAAAATGTGAGCAGTCTATGAACAAGAAATTGTAGTCCCGCCATTTTTTGTTGTGGGCAATGATAAGAGCTGTCAGGAATATACCTGAAAGTGCTTGTATTCTTTCTATATTAATCAAACTCCAGACTTTTATCGACACTTTTAATAACTTAATAACTAGTAAATCCAAGAATGGTATTTTTTTGTTATTTTCAGTTTCACACGAATTTTATACTTGTAAATCT